GAAGATGTTTCACTGTTGCATGCCAAGATCAAGGAGTTGCAGCAACAGCTGGCAGCAAACAAGGAAGCCCCGAACCCAGTGCACTGCCAAACCCCGCAAAACCGAGTCCGATCCAAAGGTCAACCGAACCCTACACCTCTGTCAGCCCCAGCACCAGCACCAGCTGCTGTCGCAGAGACGGCAGAGGATGAGGAGGAGCAAGATGAAGAGGGCGACCAAAGCGGCAAGGTCATGGTGACCTCACCAGACGGCACGATCGTTTCTTGATAGTTTGGTATAGATTGGGGTTTAAGGGATTACAGGTGATTAACTTGGCTTCAAGTTCGGGTTTGGGGTTGCCGGAGGTTTTGATTATTTTGGACCCTAAACCCTAAACCCTAAACCCTATATAAGACATGCAATGTAGGATCCTCAAAGAGCCTGCAAAAGGTCTTGACACAAGATGCACTCAGAATGAGATTGAAAAGAATGTGCGAGAAAAAAGCCAAATCTCAGAAGTGCCATGTCGACGATGAAACCCACAAGCAGTATGCCAGTGGAGGGCCAGAGCGAGAATGGCTGGAAATGGCTTTGCTAGAAGCATTGCAAGCAGTGGGGCCACAGGCCCTCGCAAAGGGCAAGGCCGCCCACCGACAGGTTCAGGTGCCTAGCTTATATAAGGGTTTCAGGGTTTATGGTTTTGGATTCTCAGGGCGAATTAATTAGGAGCCTGACTTGGAACCCCCCAAACTGCCGAAATCCCTTGATCCTAAAATTCGTAAACCCTGTACCATCCCTGAAACCTGAAGCCCACAAAATCCCCTTTGTGTTGTGGATTCTTCACCCAGGCAAGCTTCAAGGTCAAGGTGTCGCAAATTCGCGAGAGGATGCATTTGAAAGAGTCCGAGTCCAGTGGAGAATGGCTAACCGAAGAGAGAATGGTGAAGTCTGGGGAGTATAGCAAGCTCCTAGGCTTGAAAATCGTTGTGTTTACAACACCCGCGAATCCAGTGAACACATGCAAGCAACCCTATCTAAGGCAGACGATCAAATCGATTATAGCCTTCTGTGAGCGATTTCCACAGATCTTGACGAGGCCCTGGTTCGTGGATGTGCCAGGATATCCTTGTAGACCCTGTAAGGCCCTGTAGCCGCCGAAACCCCCAACCCTATAAACCCTATAAAGCCCTAAACCCCCCAAGCTCTAAAGCCCTAAAGGCACTCCTGACTGCAGGAAGTGGAAATACAACACCGATGTACTGGAGTACTTCGTTGAGGTTTCCACGAAGCAGACCATCAAACACAGCGAGTTGCTGAAACGTGTCGAGACAATGGACTGTGGAGATGCCAAGCTGCATTCGGACCAGGAACACGTAGCCCGCTGCATGAACCTCGGCTCTAGTCTGTTATGCTACTCAGGAGAAAGAGGCTGGAGACATGACGACATCCATAGAGCCGCTTGCTCTCGTGGACGATAGCAAGGCAGTGGCCATGCCAGAGCAGGTGGGAGAGAAGGCCATGGCAGGTTGAGAACACTCCCTACAGTACTCAGTAGCATGCAGCAGCTAAACTAAATCTTTTGCTGCAGACTCTGCCCGACCTGGTGAAGCTGATGGATTCCGTGCATGGCCACTTGGCAACGATCGCCAAGCTGCAGAAAGCTATTTCCGATTCCGAAGATGGTCCTAAACTGCCCCCAACGAAAGTGGAGTCACTTTGGCTAAAGTTATATTAGTTCCGTCGGGTGTTTTCCTGTGTGTTTTTGTGTCCACGTCTCAAGACTCCGGAAAGCCGCTGCCTAAGTCTGATGAAAGACCTGGACAACATCGCTGAAACCTTTCAACATGCTTTCGGCGAGCTGGCGAAAGTGAAGGCCGACCTGGTAGTAAACCAATCGGAAACGATGACACCCGAGCTTCTCGGATTGTCATTATGTCCTAGACCCCTGTAAAATCTAAAACCGGTCATGCCCAAGCACACCCGCCGAAGCTTTATCGAAAACTCAGCCCAGGTGCCAGCAAAAGGTCAACGGTGCCAGGGACGCCATCAAGAAGCCGCAGCTCACCTCATTTGCTTTTGAAGTCGTTCTGGGGCTACTGTACAATGATGTGAGTGTCTCACGTGTGCTCTAAGGTGTGCCGAACTGATTGCCATGGAGTCTCGGGTGAAGCTTCTCGATTTAATGACCTTTGATCGTTTGCATTCGCACATGCATGATTGAAACCATGTTTGATGACTCTTCTCTTTATAAGGTTGGTGCTGCTCGAGATCAAGAAGGGCCTCAAGCGAGGGTTCCAGCAGGAAGAGGAAGAAAAACCCA